CGGCCCTGAGCTCAGGGGGCAGCTGCCCAGGGTTTTGCCAGCCCAGCCCTCGCCCTGCGTGTGCCCCCCAGCCTTCCCAGAGGGAGCTGCAGGCAGGCTGCTGCTGCGGGCACCGGGGCCCCCTCCCCGCTCACCTTGAAGAAGCCCTTGCAGCCCTCGCACGTGCGCACGCCGTAGTGCTGGCAGGCGGCGTTGTCCCCGCACACGGCGCACAGCCCCTCGTTGGACGGCGACCTGCCAGCCCAGCCCTCGCCCTGCGTGTGCCCCCCAGCCTTCCCAGAGGGAGCTGCAGGCAGGCTGCTGCTGCGGGCACCGGGGCCCCCTCCCCGCTCACCTTGAAGAAGCCCTTGCAGCCCTCGCACGTGCGCACGCCGTAGTGCTGGCAGGCGGCGTTGTCCCCGCACACGGCGCACAGCCCCTCGTTGGACGGCGACCCCCGGGAGGGCGGCGAGGGCACCTGGCTGTCCAGCAGCTGGGACGCGTGGCCGAGCTGCAGGCCGGGGAAGCCCATGGAGGCCTGCTTGCGGATGGGGTTGGGCACCGCGAAGGTCTGCCCGTCCACCACGTGGTGGGCCCCGGCCGGCTCGGGGTTCATGGGCACGTGGAGGGGCCCGTCAAAGCGCATCTGGCAGCTGGAGACGGGGGTGCCGGGGGGGGACTGCTTAAAGGAGAACAAGGAGAGCCGGGACACGGGCGTTTTCCGCTGCTCGATCATGTGGGTGGTGGCCACGTAATTCTGGTGGAAGTTGTGCAGGGAGCCCGGGTCGTCCCACATGGGGCCGTGCTGCACCTGGAAGCCCGGGGTGCTGGGAGTCGGGGGCGACGAGGGCTTGTAGTAAACGGAGCCCGAGTGAGGCATCATCTCCTCGGCCTGAGGGGGAAGGTGGTTGTGCTGCTGGTAGCTGTGCATCTGAATGTCTTCCACCTTAATAGAGGACTGCTGGCCGGACAGGGGCATTTGGTACAAGCAAGGTGGCTTCACGTCGTAGCTTGTGTTGTAGTTGTCCATAAAGGTGCTGAAGCTGGGGAGAGAAGTGGTGGCAGTGATTTCAGTGTTGGTGAGGTCCATGCTAAACTTGACAAACTCTGGAGTTAAGAAATCGGAGCTGTATTCTCCCGACGAGTGGTAACTGTAGCTCTGGGAGGCCGGGCTGGCTCCTTGAGGCGATGACCCATACTGAGCCTGAACACAGGGCATGGCTGGAAACGAAACAGCGTGATATAGACTCAGCCTGGTCAAGTGCGCGCTCCCTCCCTGCCTAACGCGTCGCGCCGCGCCCCCCCGGCGGCGCTCCAAGCAGTGCACAGGACAGCGAGAGGGAGCGGAGCGCGGCACGCACAGCTCGGGGTGCGGGACGGGGCCCCCGGGGGTGTCCCGCCGGGTCCCCTGCCCCTGCCCTCCCCCGGCCCCGGCCCCGGCCCCGGCAAAGCCGCTCGGTGCTCGTCTGCGCAGGGAGCCCAGAGGGCGAGGGGCACCTGCCTGGACCCTGCGGCGCTCGGAGGCTACTTGGCTCTTTGGGAGTAGCTGTGTCTTTTGGATGTGAAAGAAATGAAGCTCACAAACCTTCAGGCGAGTTAGAGGCGTTTTCGAGGGAATTAAAGGCGGACAGTGTCGGAATTCAGTGGAGAACAAAGTTTCCAAGATTTTAGGAAATCAATGAGGACTCCAGCCTGCCCAGTATGTTCTCTGAAACACAGACACAATAGACTTCATGTTCAGACTGGCTAGGGATGGACTCGAAACAACCGTGTTGCTAAACCCCGAGCCTCTCCCGCGGCACATCTTGCCTGTTTTGGTCAGACGCCGCACGCGGCCTTTTAATCGAGAAATTCTCTTTTCAATGGTGGAAGGGAAGAGCCAACACGATTTTTTTGTCCTCGTGGCACTTTGACATTTAAGATAGTTCCCTAAAGAGTTCTTTTATGGGGAGAAAACTTACTGAAAGCAGGTTGTTATTTAGGTCTCGGGCAATATAATCATTCTGTTGTGTTATTTCCGTGCGAGAGAGACAGTGGATTTATTCTGAATCGCCCCACACATATCTGAGCGCCCTTACTGAGGACGGAAAAGGGGGGATCCTTGTCTGCATCCACCCTCCAAGCCCAGACACTGCAGCGAGACTTTGAACGACGGCCCTTTACAAAAAGGACCTACATGGCTGGAAGCCACATGCATTCACAAGCCGCGAGAAAACTAGACAGGCAAGGATCCCAGATGAGAGGAGCCTGCCCAGAGCCGGAGTGAAACGTTTCCAATGGGTGCACTCGCACAGAGAAATGTAATTCAGATTAATTACAAAGACACAGCACCGCCTCGCTGATTTGTTGCTCTGTTTTCTGAACTTGCACTAGTCGAATTAAAAAAAAAAAAAAAAGGGGGGGGACTTTTCAGCCCAGCAGAGCGGCGGACTCCTCTAAGCACAAGCGCTAACTTCGCCCCCAGCAATGCCATTTGCTCCGCAGCGGGACACCTCCCGCACGCAGCCGACCTGCACCCCGCG